ACCCTTTTCCATTAACCCTTCCTGCTGTGGGAAGGTCGGGCCAGGCAGGTGCTGGGGCCAGCTGGAGCAGGACTGGCCCGTGGGTGTCACTCCCTGCTGGTGCCAAGGTGCCAGCTGGGGATCTCCCCTGAACAGGCAGGCCATGAGCGGGCAGGGCAGGGCAGAGGCTGCAGCAGCTGCTCAGCAGTGAACAGCCAGCCCAGGCACTGCCTGCACTGCTGGAACTGTGCAGTGCCAGCTCCTGGAGTCGCTGCCTCCTTTCTGGGAAAGTGCTGTACTCGGTCCATGGAGAGGAGGAATCAGTGATTCATACTTCTTGGACAGTCTCCACTTTCTCCTCCCTCCCTGACCACCCCCACCCTCCCCTCACAAGAATTTCCTTGTGGTATGGGAGGGGCAAGGGATGTTTAAGGAAAGCACATGGCTGTGTGCACTTTGCACAGCATTGCTCTCCACAGGGAGCTGGAAGCAGGATGAGGTGATTTGCAGCCTCTCCTTTGCAGCCATTGCTACTTGAAATAGAGGCTGCTTGAGCATCTCTTGTTAACATACAGAATTTCCAAGCACAAAGATGCTTAGGAGAGTTTTAGACAATCAGAAAAAAAAATTGAAAAATTAAATGTTTGTTAAAAGGTTTGACCATTAGATGAGGGATTTTTTCATGTGAATTGGAATAGACCAAGATAAAGGTGAAATAGTTATCATTCCAAAAGTTATTAAATACAGCTGATAGTATATTCACACCCTCCTAGTTTCCAGCCCTAAGTTCACTGGGCTGGGCTGGGCTCTCTCCTTATCTTGGGATTTGGAAGCTGGGAGTTGCTGTGTGGAGGAGGAGGCACAAATACAGGAAAGCAGGAGAAAGCCCAGGAGCAGCAGTGGGCAGGCAGGAGATGCTCATGTCAGTGTCATTAATAACTAAATTTAAACCCACCTGAAAATTATATCTATTATTCAGCACGATGAATGCAGCCAATTTTTTCTCACACTAAGGTACTTTGGCCACTTCAGGTGAGCCTGGCATTCCTTTGTCTGCAGCTATTGCAAAGTGCAATAAACAATAACATCAGTGCTGCTACAGAGTGTGAAGGGGGGCCAGTGCCAGCAGAGACCAGGAGCTCAGGGCAGAGGGTGAAGGGCAAACTGACCCCAGCACTCATCCCTCTATGGATTCACTCCTGTTCAAGCTGTTCACATCCAGCACCTCCTTGCTGCAGACACTTGCACTGCAAAGTTGAATAAAAACCAGCCAGTTTTCCTTCCACACACTTAAAAATTTTGTGGTCACCTCTCTGCCAGGACTTATGAGCATCCAGGATCCTGATGGAGAAACTGACATGACAAAGAAAACTAGCAAGAGTCCTACTCATAGGCATGGAAAAATAAGTAATTTGTCCCTTTTTAATTGAAAAATGTAAAAAGGACTTCAGCTTTAAATAAGACATTTTGTACAAAGCTTCAGCACAAAAAAGTGAACACCAATGTGTCGTTATGTAAACACCACAAATGTTACTGGTTTGTTCAGTAACACAGAACAGCCTGCGAGTTCCCTCCCAGGGGGTGAGATTTCTGTAGCTGTTCCCTCCCCTCTGACCTTACTGGAATACAGGAAACCCAGAAGCTTTGGAACATTTACAGGCTACAGTAGTCAGGGTACATTGTGACTAAAGGATTTTTTTTGTTGTTTTTTTTCTTTAAGGGGTTGGTCATTTAAATATACAGAAGTACAATAATCTCACAGGTAAATGAATGGCAGCTTGGATTAGAAAAAGCACCAAAATATTTAATATACATCTGGCACAAATTTCACAATAAGTCAGTAATGGACAAACCAATGCTTTGCTTGTAAGAAAAGAAAAACCTCAGACTGTACTTAATGCTCTTCTTCCAAAAGGGACACAACAAAAACATTGCACTCAGGATTGCTATCAAGTAAAGACAACCTTCTTATCACACCCTATTTGCATTGTGCCTTAGATTGCACATTCCATAAGATGCTGTTTCCATTCTGTTCCAGACACCAATGGTGAGAAAATTTGATGTGAGAAAGGTAACTGTAAAACTACAAACCAATTCAGCAGACTGGGATTCAGCAGATGCATTGCCCTGGAATTCTCCCAATTTTCCTGTAGATCAGGTTTCAAATTTGGCTGCATCCCCTTGAAATAAAGATCCTACATGAAACAGAATTGATTCCAGCTGTTTTCAAGCATTACATTTACACAGCACTTCTGATACTGCTGTCCCAAAGAGGAACCACGGGGCTGCTGTGACATGCAACACATTCATCATTTCCCAGAGTGAAAACTGGCTCATACAGGGTGATCTCCTGGCTAAGTCTGAAAAGGCAAAACACCCCCGGGCACAAAGAGCAGCAGAGTGACCCTGCCCACCCTGGATTGCTGAGCAGCCCAGAGGCCCAGCAGGGAGCTGTGCTCACAGACACAGCACACAAAGCCCCTGGTACTTCCCCAGTCACACTGAGTTACCTCTCTGGGAGCAAACACTACCAACACACATTCCTTCCACAGAGAGGGACTTGAGGCTCAACTGGGGCCTCAAGATGCACAAGAAAGAACAAGGCTGCACCAACCAGTGCTCCCAGGCTGACCCTTCTCCACAGAGCCCATCAAGGCCTTGTGGTTGCTTCATGCCCTCAAGACCAGGCAGTGCAAACCCCAGCAGTGCTGGCTCAGGCCAGAGCCCTGCCAGTGCCATCCATGGCTCCTGGAACTTGAGTTACTCAACAACTTACAGCACGAGGCCCTCCAACCCTCCTGCCAGCCCATCTCCTTTTATAAGACTATTTCAAACTTACACAAGTGTATTTTCAAATAACTCTGTGTAGCATGACTAAAGAAGTCACAACTTCCAAATACAGAGCACTGATCTGTGACGTCCTTTAACTGTAACACTCTTGGGAGCAGCAGCCAGCCTGCAGCTCCACTGATCCTCTGTGCAGGTTTGCCAGCTCTGGTCACACAATCTCCACTCTCACAGGCCCAGAGAAGAGCAAGAGTCAGCAGCTGTAACTGCATAAAATGGCAACATTCAAGTAAACACACTGCTTCAACAGTAGGCAACCTTTAGTCCAGATATAATTTACAGGGCATAAAAAGAAACACTTTACAGCACAAACACTGGAGATGGACTTTTTTCCTGTGTGTGAAATGACACATTATCCAAAAAGGGCTTATCTGAAGAGTGCAATTATGCAAAGATAGAAACTTATTAAAAATCAAACAAAAAACAGTATTACCTAGAGAACCTGTTGGATTTTCGGAGACTGAGGATTGCAATAGTAGCAAGGAACTGCTGCAATGTCAGTGATTTAAGGCAAGCTGTTAGGACAAGAACACACATGCTCTTTTTACCTGCTGTCTCACATGTCCCCCTGTTCTCTTGAAATAGATTCCCCTCCTGATAGTGCAAGAGGTCACACCCCAAAGCAGCACTGGAGGGATCCTGCAGCAGCAGCTGCCACAGCACTGCAGGATGTGGGATTTGCTGTGGCAGGACCTGTGCTGCAGTTTGCTCTGGGGGAGGACAGGAAGGGCACAGATGTGTTGCATGCAGAAGAACACCCCCAATGCATCAATGAACACAGCTGAGCACCAAAGCCACCCTGGCATCTCCAGTTCTCTTGAGAACACTCCAGCTTCACTCAAGCACAAGGGTTTTATCCTGAGCAGGATTCTGACCTCAGGGACAAAAAGGACGCGTGTGGCCTTTGCACTTTTGCAGCTCCCATCTTTGCTGGGTGGTTACAAGTCCGGTCCAACATGGAACAAAACACAGTATTTTTGATTAAAAGAAAAATACACTCATGGCACTGCATCAGGTGGGTTCCTAAAGCTTTTCAAGGGCAAATGAAAAGGCTGATGGCTCCCTCTTGGGGAGCAGCTGCTCCATCTTCAATTCACTGTCAGTGCAGGCAGCCTGACCAGGGAAGAGGACGTGTGGTGACAGAAGCCCTGAGCCACAGGCACGGAGCTCTGCTCAGCTGCTCTATTGCACTCCAAAAGTAGCACCCGGGAGGACCAACTCTGGTTTGCAGCTTGACCCGGCCCCCTTCCAAAGGGTCCTTTGCATACAGGTTAAACACAGGACACCAAAAACTATGGCAAAGAGATAATACTTAACTCGGGTCAATTAAAAAAAATAGATTACTCATCCAGGCATAAAATCCCGGGACGAAAGGATGGTAGCCTTAAACTATTCAAGTCTAAGAACAAGAGGTAGAGATACCTACGTACTTCATGGTGAAGGAGTTACAGCCTTCTTTCTGTCTTACAATCTCATGGATTTCGCTTCAGTTCACACTATAAAACCAAAGGTTCAATCTTCAATAGACCAGAGAGAAAATGTTAACACTGGTGGGTTTGTTTCACGCAACAAAATTTAAGCAGACACTTTGCTTTAATACTTATATGAAAAAATATGTTTTTCTCCATATTGAAGCACTGCCCTGAAGAATTTTGAGTTTCAGGTTAAGCATCTTCCTTTTTAATATGAAAGGCTAAATTCACATGCACATACTTTGAGCAGAGTGGGCTCAAGGGAAGAAATGGGTGCCCAATTTACTGAGGACCTTCTAGAAAAGCATCACACTGCAGAATGCAAGGCTGCAAGAGCCAGAAACTCACAATGACTATTATTTACCAAAGAATGGGAATGATGTAACCCCAGCCAACAAAATGTACCACAACTGAGGTGCCTATTAACTACATGGTGTTTCTTTAACTTTGTTGGGCTTTTTTTGGAAACAAGGCTCATGCTGACAGTGTCACACAAAGTCTAAGGTCACTGGTCAGTGCACAGGCCTGGGAACCACGGGTGACAGGCTAGTCCTGGATCCATGGCTTCTCCAGGCTCTGATGGACACACAGACTGAAATAATGAAATAAAGTCAGCCAGCAGAGCTGCTGCTGCCCCAGCACTGCCCACAGGAGCAGGGCTGCACCCTCTGCACCAGCCTGAGCCACTCAGCCCCAGCAGAGCAGCCTGAGCTCGTTCCATGCTCTGAACTGTGCCTGGCTGAGACCTGTCCTGGTTCAGAGCTGATCCTGCTGGGCCAGCCTGGGGGAAGCTCTCAGCCCCAGCTGTGTCTGTGCCACCTGCCAGACCTGTGCTCACCCTCCTGTGCTCCTTTCACCAGGATTGCACAGTACTAAGAAGCTGTAATTCTCCATGTAGAATAGCACCAGCAGCAAATAAACCCACAATTTGGTGTTCAATTCCAACTCACTGCCTCAGTCATGTTTTATGGCCAGGATCTTTCAAATCCTTACTTGAATCAATAGATAGTCTTTGACCTCAGAAATGCACCCACACAAGTGAAAATAGCACAATTAAGCCTCCAGCTGATCTGGAAGCCAAATTTTACAAGTGTTGCAAGCTATAATGTGGTGTAGGTGGTCAGTGTTTTATTACTAGGGGCTAAAGTTTACAGGAGTTGTATTTCTTTGCATATAAGAGAAGGCAGTAAAATGCCAGATTGTGGATACCAGACCAGTTTTCCAGTATATTACTCCAACTATCTATATAGTTATCTATAGTTATTTATCCCAAGTTGCAGCAGATTCACTACATGCATAAAGTTTCCTAATGCATAATCTATTTTTTAAAAAAACTAAACAGTTGCAATGGTTTCAAGGATTTCATCAGCATCACTGCTCACTTACAGTCCTGTGCCCTACACAATGAAGAATTAAATTATATAAAAATGAAAAATGAATGCATTTGGCCTGTTCCACAGATATTCACAGTTTAACCATTAAACAAGCATATTTTCAGAGGCTCCAATATTATTAAAGACTTCTCAGAAACACACACAAACCCCATTCCCTCAGCTCAGCATTAGAGTCTATTTGGGATCACAAAATCACCAGGCAATCCAAGAGAAGGTCTGGCAGCCCCACTCTGCCAGCACTGCCCAAGAGCTGCACCTCCAGCTCCTGCCTCAGGAGTTTAAACTGACACAGGTCTGGTTTGCATTCTGTAAATGGTAATCAAAGGACTAAAATTAGGCTAAAGATAAGTGATACTTCCCTAGATAGATCATTTGGCTATTTTTGCAAGTTCCCTGCCCAGTGGGTGGAGCTGCTCCTGCCTGGCTGGAAGCAGCAGAACAGGAGCAGGGCTGTCCCCCACACTGAACTCGTGGGCAATGGTATGTCCTTTCCCCAACAGGAAACCAGATTTTCCCTTCCTGTGTGTTCACCTCTGCCTTTGAAAAGCAGCTGTGTTACCTCGGATACCTTAAAATGGCTGAGCCTGGTGTGCTACAGATTGATTTCCTCACTGCTGTCCACATTCCAACCACAAGATAAACACCTTCCTTAAAGAGCCTCATCCTCTGGGGCTGCTGCATGCTGGGGTGTAAATCAGAAGCTGCCATCTGGTGAGCTACCCATTTGAACAGTTACTCTTCACACTCTGGACATTTTAAATTTCCTTTAGGGGGAAAAAAAAATTAAGTGATGAACAAAGCATTTAATAGCTGAATGAATGAAGAGCCTCCAACTTACAAATACAGTCTTCATTTACTATCAAATCAGTCTCCATTTGGAACTTTTCCTAACAAAGCAGCCTCTGTTGGGGAATTTATTTTAGTCTTTTAAAAATAACAGCACCAGCAAAAGTCTCACCATAAATTCAACGATTCCAGCACGAGTGCTTTGGCTGCTTTGCTCACCAAATCACAATAAGGTTTTGCTGCCAAACACTTTTGTGCCACAGAAAGTTAGAGAAGCAAGGACAAAGCTTTGGGTGTATTTACTCATAAAACAGCAACTTCAGGGCTCTCCTGCAAAGGGACAGATTCAGCTGCATCTAAAACAGCCACAGCTTGTTTTCCATAGCTTGTCTCCCAGCAAGAGCAGCATGGACCAAACTCTCCTTTTATTAGATGAAAGAGATGCTATCTGTGGCTTGTGGGTTTGTTTTTAAACAGTTTGCATTACCCACATTTTGTTAGTGATTTATGACCTCCAAGCCAAGCCATTGCAGGGCTGCATACCAGCAAAGCCAGACCCAGAATTTGGGTAGATCCTGCTCCTCTCTCTGCTAACCCCTGTGGGGCACAACAGATGTGCAAAGCACAACACCCTGGACCTGTGACAAGCTCACCACTTAAAACCTGTTTCCCTTTAGTTTTAAAACCCTTACATCACAAAAGCCATTAGATGCTATGGATGACTGTCTAGGCTTTTGTTTTGTTGTGTTTCAGTTGAAATTGGTTTATGATCCTGAAATGCAGCTCTGAAAATAAAAGGTGTGTAACAGAAGTGTATCAAATTCATTAAGCCAGCACTTGGCATTACAGAAAGCCTTGGCAATCAAACCTTTTACCAAAAGGTGTAAAAAAGTTGACATACTAAAATTAAAAAAGGTAGCATCAATAACCAAAAAAGTTTCAACCAGTGTTAATAAAACTCCCTTTAAGTCACAACAATTTCAACAGGCAAATAGTCCCAATACAGGCATTGTAAAATAATAAATTGACTCCTATCCAAATATTATCAAATCAGTCTAAAAATGACTCATCTACACTGCTGTCATTAAGAACACATTAAGAATTCACTTTGTCATCAGATGCCGATATTGTTGCTCCAGAAAGTGTGGAGTATTAACTGCAATTTAGCAATTAAACATATGCTTTAAAAAATTGGTTTGTCAATATTAATGCAAAAGATAGTTCCTTACATAGAAGTACTGTGCTTGCCAGACAAGTAAGGTAATACTTTAGGTATAAATCAAACAAATTAAAGCAGAATTATACCACAGTTTTCCTTGAAGACTTAGGATTTGTGTGTTGCTTCTCTCAATGTTTAGCAAACTTAAGAAGCAGAACCTTTGGTTCTTTTAGTCAAGTAAAAATATTCTCATGTAACCACAAAAATACAACTTCCAGAGAAAATGGAAGTCCATCAACAAGTCCACTTTCAATAAAACTGAGGTAGTACTGCTCTTTTATTATGTGAATGTGTAAAGAGATTTAGATATAAATCGTCATCTACCACTCAGTTGACTGACAGGTACAGTAATTTTATAAAACAATCCCAACATTTAGTTTGAAAGTCCAAAAAAAGGAATGATCTGGACTCATTCACTAGGAGTTAGCTCAAAATGGGAATTAGCCATATTACAAAAAGCTGTCGCTTATGTTGATTTTTAGAGCCTTATTACCCAGGATTAATGCATTTATAGTTAACACTGCTGTTCATCTCGGTATAAAACCTTAAAATTATTACAGCCTAAAATTTCAACAATGTAAACAGCACTACACACAGTACAGACCTGCCCTGACAGATGTAGTATGAAAAAACTTAATCTGGCACTGTATAATTTAGCAATGTTAATTTAACCTAACTAAAAAGATCTACATTGTGCAAGAAGTATCAGACTTACTTATACTAATCTGAAGTCTTAAAAATAAAATAAAATAAAAAAAATGCTTAACTTGTAGCCAGGGTCAAATATTTCAGGGCAAGAGTAAAAGGAATAACCAAAATTAAGAAAGTGCCTAAAACATGATACAGCATTTTAGAGCCCTTTCAAAGACAAGGCAGAAAAAGGTGTAAAGTAGAAAAATCTGGAGCCTCGGTAATTTCCAGAAACATCCAGAGTTTACATTGTGTGAAGGGCAAGGAGCTGCTTTTGTCCCTGCTGCTAGGTCTGTCCATCCGCACACGGCCCCTCTGTGTCCGAGGACAGAACACTTTTGGTTTCCTCCTCCTTTTTCCTGCGCTCCATTTCCCACTCCACAAAGGTGTCGAAGAGGCTCGGCCAGGCCTCGTCCTCGCTGTAGTTGCTAAGGTCCGGTCCAATCACCTGAGTAAAATTTAGAAACATGTTCCACGTGTCCCGGGAGATTCCCTTGATTCCTGAGGGGTTCTTGATTAGGAAGTGTAACCACTGGTCCAAAATAGGGGGCTTGTTTTGGGTGAAGACTAATTTCCAAAGGGCAATGGCTATTTCCCGATGTAGCGACCTCTGTCCCTCTTCAGAGTCCAGGCCAAACTGGAAGGTGAAACGATAGAGATCCTTGAATTTATCCTCCTGCTTGGCTTCGTTTAGGAGGCTGGGGAACCTTGCACAAATGCCATCAATGCTGTCTGCATTTATTGCTTTGCAGCCTTCAAAAAACTCCTTCCTGTCAAGCAAGAGAAGAGAAATTAGGGAGGGGCCTTCCCACCGACCGCATGAACACGTCCTGTCTCCATCCAGCTACACCAAATCTAAGAGGAGCACCTGGACAAGACAAGGTGTAACCTCAGCCCCAGACAAGCTGTACCCTCAGCCCCAGTGGCACACAGATTTTGGCAACAGGAGCCACTGGAAAGACAGCCAGTTCCAAGGCATTCCTTAAGGCCTGGGGAACCACACGCAACCCCCAGGTCTGCTGGGGCACTGTTAACATTTCAAAGATTCTGCTCTCTGGCTTTTCTGGACACTTCCACATCCTGGAATGCCTTTCACGTTAAAGAGTGAGTCTAATTTGCCACAGAAAAAATTCTAAATGTTTGAAACTAACACATTTACCCCAGCTTGATTCAGTACTGCTGATGTCTAAATGCCCATGCTCTGAGTGAGCTGTTTGCAAGGGACAGAGCAGTTCACTTCTACTTTTGCTGTGGTTTTTGGTTGTTCTTTCAGCCTGCAGAACCAATGGGGAGCCACTGGTGTCAGTCAGCAAGGCATCTGCTGAGAGCAGGGAAGGGAGCACAGCATCACAGCGGCTACAGCACAATGTATGGACACTGCTTGAAGCCAAGTGGGACAGGTTTAGCTCCAGTTTCTCTGATGCTTGTTACAACCAGGTGTAACATCCAGATGTAACAACCAGGTGTAACAACCAGCCAGGAGAGCCAGCAGGCTGACACAGGATGGGCTGGAGGGAAGAGGAGATGGAGCAGCACTCAGAACAGACCATGATGCTTTCCTTGATACAAGATTCCATCAGCACCTGTACCATGGAACGCGCCCTTCAACAAATATAACCCCTCACAACTAGATTTGTCCTCTCTGAGGAAATTAAAACCATGTTAATAATAATCATGGTAGCTGTGCAGAATCAGACATTACTTAAAATTCCTTTACCATCTTAGCAAATACCTGGGTCATCAGCCTCCAGTAAATCCACATTTGCATTCCAGAGTAACTCATCCCTTTGACACACACCCTCAGCCACAAAGACTCTGAAGATGCTGTCCAGTGCACAGCAGAGGCTTGGGTCAAGGCTCTGAACACCAAAGCAATAAGCTCAGTAAAAATAAGCAGCATTACTCAAACCAATCTACATAGGGCAAAATAAAAAATTCCTTCTCTCCCTGCCAGTCCTTGTAGGCCCTGTTCCCTTGCTCTTACCTGGACATTGCTAATCAAGCTGGGGGACTCTGCTGCAGTTTGGGTTTGTCTTTTGCTTAGTGGGGGGAGTTGTAGCCATTCCATTGTGTCCTGTGGCATCACACATGCTGTCATTCTGCTGACTGAGCCCCTTGTCCAGAAGGGCACACAGTAGTTCAAACAGCAATCATTTGTCAGCTTGTATGAAACAGCTACAAGTGTCAAAACCCTCACATTTCCTTCCCTCTCTATGCTTTAACAAGATTACTCTTGGAAAAAGACATTAAGTGTTACACTGCTTGGACAGGAACAATTCTGTCATTCTTCCACAGACTGTTAACAGAGTTAGTAGCAATTACTAAAGAATCTCACATTACTTTAAAGGAAAAATTAATTTCAGTGTCCAATCTCACCAAGATAATGTTGGATACAATAAATTGCTTCTGGTAAATCAAGAATAAATTAATGTCTACAGAATCTCACTACACTGTTCATCACTAGCAGGATAATGGCCAAAACCACATTTTCTAAAATCCAGTGTAAGGGGAAGGGGAAAAGAAGACAATACAAAGCTTACCTTCTGCAGTGGTAGGAATTAATTTGATCAAAATGCAAGTGTTAGAAGAAATAAGTAAGTGAAGCTAATGAGGCTGTCTCTCCAACATACTGCTGACAGGATATACTTTAACATATGAAAATAATTACAAGTTCTACAAGAACTAACCTTGTAAATTTGCACATGGTAGCAGCCTGGAATTTCCAAGCCAAAACTAGTACTTTAAATTCAGTGGGATCAACACAGAGGTCATTGCAAAATCGTTCCATTCCTTCTTCCAGTATGGCATCTTCCCGCTCGTCCTTATACCTCCTGAACAACTCCCCAATCCTCTGAAGAGAAGATTCCTCTGCACTGCAAACAGAGTCTTTCTTTGCATCTCCAGAAAACGTTGGAGGCTGACTGGACTCTACAGCAGCATCTGTTTTCTTTGTCCCATTCACAAGGATGTCTCCTGAAGCCTTCCCGCAAGCTGAGCCGTGGTCGTCTTTGTGGACTGCACTTCTCTTGCTGTGGGATTTGCTGCCAGAGTCTCTCTCCCCATTTTTGCTGCCAAGGGTAGAAGAAGGGTTCTTGCACTTGGTGACACACTGGCCCATGGTGGTGCAAGCCCAGCTCCTAGCACGGTCCCCCTGCCCTCGGACACCCTCGCAGCTGCTCTTCAACACATCTCACCATGCCATCAGCAGCACTCAGCTAACCTGCAAAACAGTTCCACCGTCAAACTGCTGCCTCTCTGTAAAGAATAGCTGAAGTATTTAATGTGGGATAACATTTGCCATTAAGCAGCCAACTTCAGGATATTTAAGCTTTGCATACTGAAAAGGAGCAGTGTACACAAGGCTGGAATATGCCATAAATTTCAGGCAATTTCAGGCTGTTTTACCTAGAAATCAATGCAGCTCACTCAGTGGCTACACTATACTAACGGGTCCTAATAAAGGAAATTCCTAAAATTCTTACTGCAGCATAGGTTACAAAGAGGTTGATTCATGTACAGGCTTCATCACAACAGACTATTCTAACCCAGAAATACTTTAAAGGAAATGGTTTTTAAAAGTATACTCACATTTTATATATAGAATATAAAACACTGAAACAAAGCAGGGAAAGGAGCACAGGGACACTGATGGGACAACCTGGCAGAGACCTAAGGACTGGATCTAGACTATACTTCCAGCAAATCAGCAAAAGGGACTTCTCAGGGAGAGAGGAGGAGGGGGCTGGCTGTTGGCTGGTTTTAGGGAGGAGGAGAGAGAGTGAAAGTTGTGTGTTTGTTTTTAAACAGAGTTTGGAATCTAGGTTTTGTACTTAAAACATACACAGAGTGTGCCTGCAGAAAGGAGGCAACACTTCTTATGCAAGAGGGTATTCAGAAATGGTTCATTGTTTCAAGTGGGCTCCTCCCTTCAGGTAAGGAGACAGACAGGGGAGGGGGCCTTCTTAATGAAACTTCTTCAGACAGACACACATGCAGATAAGAAGTAGTAATTCCAGTTCAGAGGTTTTTTTTAAAACAAAAATTAAAATGCCAAAATGATTTCATCATACTCTCTTTTTATAAATCACAAAGCCCTGGGTATTTGGAAAAGATATTTTGCTCAGAGAAAAGGGTTCTCCAATTTTCCCTGTTAAAACCAAGCTAACACTGACACTGCCCTATCAGCAAGCAGCCACACCAAGGACAGTCTGTTTCTCAGAAATGTCAGCTCCAAGAAAGCAATTGCTTATCACAGTCCTCCTTTACCCACTAATTTGCATTTCACCTCTGCTGTCAGTGAGGCAAAAGCTTCAAACATAAAAATTGGGTTTGCTGAGACTTTGTGTACAGCTTCCAGTTTAGAATTAAAACAAGAAAGAAGAGAGATAAAAATTTAAAAATTAAAAAATACAATAGATGTCATGTCAGTTTTACTGTATTTTTTTCTTGGGCAAAGCTTTACTGAGACTGAAGTCCTCTTTAAAGCTGTAAACCAACAGCAGCAACAAGTATAGATGAATTCTCAGATATCAGGATTACAAAAATAAATCTCTCAGCCATTATACCTGTTTTGACAAAACAGCACTTGTGCAGCTTCATGAGCAAAAAATTTTGCCAGTGGAACTACAGCAGCCAAGATGCTGATGTTGACTACCTGGCTTCCCTTTTCCTCCCCAGTCCCTTTTCTTATCTCACACACAAAACTAGTAAATACCTATTTTTTAATCAGTCAAAGGAACAAAGGTATTAGAGATTCTTTCATCACAAAGCTTTAAAGATTAACTTTGCAGCATCATTTTTATAGGCAAGCAAAGTCTGATTATGTATTCAAGAAATTTGCAATAATTTGTATTTGAAAGGATGTATAAAAATATGCATGTCAATATAAATAATCCATAAGACAATTTCAGTGGTCCTTAGTACTTGACAGCTCTGTGAGTTGTGAAGCACAGCCTGGCACTGATTTCTGTGCTGCCAGGTGCCTGAGCAACATCTACAGTTCTCTCCAGTCTACACCAGTCATTATTTCATTACACCAAAACAAACAGGATATTAGTAGGCAGTGTAAAAACTGCTTAGTGATTAACTCCCACATACCAGCTTTCCCCCTCTCAATCTTTAAATTCACCCAAATTCAAATGCTTAATCTACACTAATTCTTGTTCTTCCATCAGTTTCTCAGAGGCAGCTAGCACCACACTGGACAAATTTTTCTTTAGAGAGAAGTATGCAGCTGAAAGAACAGAATAAAAAATTCCTGAGTACAGACTAGCACTAGAATTTAGGTAGAATAGAAAACTTTCTGCTCAAAGATGTAACAGTAGTTTTTAGCTATTGGTGATTTGGACCAGCTTTTCCCTATGGGGGAAGGTTAAGGAACAGCTGCCTATTAGTGAACAGTACTTTCCTCTAAAGTAGTCAAATCACACACATTGCAATTGACAGATTAATCCAATTAACTTGAGGAATCCCAATTTGATTTTTTTTTAAAGGCAGTTGGCAAGACTGACATCCTGTGTCCATCATTTTCCTAATAAAAGTGACTCATGCTGTCATGCTTCCTAAGCAACAGCTTGTATTATTGATGATAACAATCTAATCTGCAGGTTTGCAAAGTGACATCACCAATGTGATGAAACTGATGGGTTTTAAAGTCATTTGCTGTCACAAAAAGAGCACTACAATTCACAGAGGGAGGATCTGCCAGCATTATTAGACACCTGTATGTAAGGAGGTGTCTCACTGGCAGTTTCCAAAAGCAGGCAATCCCAGTAGCATTAACCCCTAGATGCAAGTTATCTACCTCCCTCACATTGTAACCCTCTAACAAACACATTTTCTGTACTCCTACTTGCCTTACAAAGAGCTGAATGCTGCTCCTGAACAGCCACTGCATGAGCACTGCTCTTCCCTGCAGTAACAGAGTTCTTCCTTCCTCCTCCCCACCAAGGAAGTTCTCAGAGCACCATCCTACTCCTTATGAACAAACACCAGAAGATACTGATGTACACTTGCTGCAATTCCTCACTTTTCTTCTACAAGAAACTTGATGCCATGTGCCAGATACTTAGAAGCATTCTACCCCAAAAATAGCAAAACCAGCTTGGAAAAAAAAAAATCCAGACTGCATCCGCTGGCAGCTTGTGCATGTGCCTGGTTTTGTAAGAGAAAAGTCTTCTGGCACTCCATCAGTTACCCTCTGTAAATTGCCTGTGAGCTGGATCCTCTTCACTAACGAGTCACCTCCGCTTCCTACGTGACTCAGGTTTCAAGGCATGAAAGGAACAAGAGCCTTGCAAGGAGACAGAAACAAGTGGGAGAAGCCGCCGGCCCTTTTGTTATGGAAGGCTGGAGAGAGGATCTGATTGCAGCACCAGGAGCTGCAGGGAAGGCAGAGCTCAAGGAGTGGGAGAGAGCACCCTCAGGAAGGTGAACAGAGCTGTGGGTTCAGCTGCAGAGCAAAGTGACTGTCACACAGCACAAGGAGCTGCACAGAGATCTCCCAGCTGGATCAGGAATTACAAGTATTATTGTGTACCCAAAGGTTAGCTGGATTGGTGGCAAAGCATCAATTCCCAAAAGGATCAGTTCCCAAGAGCAAAATCACTAAGAGGCTTGTACAGCATAAAAGCAAGACATAAAAGGCAGCAGTGACCACTGCTTTTGCTATTCTACTAAAAAGGATCAAGATTCAGGGCTAAGGTTGGAATGTGCTCAGTGCTACAGGATGCAGTGCTCCCAAAGAAGTCTATTACTCAGAAAAGCATTGAGCAATAATCTCCAGTACATATGAATCACCAAGATGCCCATGAGGCCATCCTCCTCCTTCAAAGCAGAGATCCACAATGACCTTCTCTGCACCTTTCCAGAAAGGAGTCAGCAGCTGGGAACACAGGAAGATGAGTGCTGCTGAATACAGCCAGCTAAAACGAAGTCACCCTCTAAGAACAAAGGCTGTGCAGAGACATATGGCCCCACACACTAAATGAAAACCTAGAGAAAATTACAAAGGCCTTGGCTAATGCTTGGGGGGCTTTTTGATTTGGTGGGGGTTTTGTGTGGGACTTTTTCTAAGTGCTGTAAGGAATTTGCAGCATTTTTCCTCCATTTTCAAGTGACCAGATCACACATAACCCAAAATTTGAAGGGAGCAAAACAAAGTGACTCAGTAATAACTCTCAATCATACAAGCACACCGTGGCCCAATTGAAAACAGCAGTAATGAAGAGTGGGGGGAAGCTGGCAGGAGGAGAGAAGATGCAAAGGAGATATTTAAGTAACCCAGTATTTTTCTATAATGACTGATGTTATTGTAGTAATGGAAATTATTGCATATGTCCAGAGAATAACAAGCAAAACAAGCATTATGCTGTTTAATAAAGTGTTGCATCAGAAGGTATTTATAATGAGTTTCAAAACACAGAAAGTATCAAGAGAGTAGAGGAAAAAGCTTTCCATACATTTAAGAAGACCTCAAAGACAAATTTAGGAAATCTCATAACAAAAGGGGAAACAGCTCAGCCAACCATTAAATCCCTTTCCAAGGAGCATTTCACCAGCTAAGGCAAAGACAACATAACTAGAGCTTAAGTAAGCCTCAACCCAGCCTCAGCTTTTCACAAACACTTGAGCATAGTCTAAGAATTTTACAGAACTCCACTATGCATCATCTACCTTTTAATGGCTGGGGACACATGACTTTAAAAACAGCTGAGAGTAGGGAACCGTATCATGGATGCCCTGCCTGTTTGCAGCCCTGAACAGATACAGAGCTTCCCACTGGGGAGGCAGGAGAGGATCACTGCCACTGCTGAAGCAGAAGCAATTGCTGCTCTGACAATTGTGCTGGACAAGTGATCTTGTGAGCAACATCTCATACTTACATAGTTTCAGCTACACAGAGAATCATTCCACTAGCTTCACAGCTTCCTTCAGGCTCCCTGGCTTCCACATAGAATGCTGGAAGACAAAAGACCACACAAATCTTTACCTTTAGAAGAGGCTATGAAAACCATGAAATGCACCAAATCATTGAGAACCAACTGTGCATGTAATAAAACCCTTCAGAGCCAAACACCATTTGTTCAAAGAGTCATTTTATGAAAAACTACTTCACTTTTTTGACTTACAAAGTAGCATTAACACTATTAACTCTGCATTGTCATATAAACCATAGAACAGGTACTGAAAACAACAGACAAATTCAAATGTTTGTTTGCAGTAAATACACACTTCCAGATACTTTCATGGCTTTCAGCATGGGGGAGTTAATTCCTCATTTGATGCACTCAAAGCAAAGCAGAGGACATGCTATCACTGTCACTGCATGTTAGCTGAGCACTGTTTAATCTGTGAATGCCAGACAGCTGCTACCTAGCAAAGCATAATTTGGGTCTGGAGAGTAATTCTCTTTTCTCATTCTCTAGCACATTCTTTTCCATGTTTGTTTTCCCATGTTCAGTCGAGCTGGCTCCACTTCTCTTAAATTCCCAGCTCTGCTGTGTAAGGAGGAAGCTCTGAAGAGGACAGACAAAGGTATGTCTGGTTTGGGGAGCAAGAGCTGCAGTTGCAGCCCCCAGTCAACACCTCTGCATCTGATCCAGTAGAAAAACACAACAAACAAGAAATCTCTGGCAAAGCTCCCCTGCTCTACCACAATAACATAAACACTAAAACATCTCGTTTTTACAGCTCTTAGCACATCTAGGGAGCAGACAGGTGATCAAAAGCTGCCTTGCTGCATACTTACCTTTTGCAGGAGATTTACTTAGGAAACAAGTAGAAACATTAGCTTGTTCAGAGCTTCCTTCAGCACAAAGAGGGGGGTGAATGTAGAAAGACAACCATGAAACAACATCTTGTCACACATGCCAATCTCCATGTGAGTTTTCCCCAAACCTGAATCCTATATGTGGATTAGGAAAATTTGACTGACACATAAAACCTAGTTCAGACCAAAGCTGTTGATAGAGCTTAAAAGCCTCAAACATTTCAAAATGCCTGGAAACTCTGGAGTGGTACTTTCACTCATATACACACACAGAGCAAAAATATATTTCCACTGAATAATTTTTAGGCATTTGCTGTTGAGATGGGAGACCAAAAAGTCTACTTCACACTGAGTTTATATAGTCTGCTCCCAAACCTCATTTTCCACACAGCCAACCACCCTTTTTCCCTCCTCCATGGCTTCACAGCTCTTTCAGCAGACACTCCAGTGGGTGCACAGCCACAGGCAGCTCAACATGCAGGGGAGCAGAGGAGTGTCTGCCTCTCTCAGGGTAGAAGTACCAGCTTGAATTTCTTCCTATTGACCACAGCATCCCATGAATTTCAAGAATTTAAGAAAATGTAGCATCTGGCACATCTGTGTTAATTTCTTTTGGCCTCCTGCATCTAAATAATTCCTTTCATAAATCACCAGGGAGGAACACAGGGTGCTGTGCAACCTCATTCCCCAGGAACCTGTTTAAACATTTTACAGTTCACATTTTGAAAAATCATTGTCATGGCAACTTTTTGCAATGAACTACTTTTCAAACATATCTGTATTTCTTTGGAAGAGATCTATGATCCCATGGTCCACCAAATCTACATTTCCAGTTGACTTACTGCACCTACTGGAAGCAAACACTAATTTCAAGTTCAAAAGAAGCTGAATCTGATGGAGATCAGCCTTACCCAGCAAAAGCCAAACTTTTTCATATTGTTTGAAGTAATTTCCCTGCTGGCTGACCTATACACACATGCACACTGACTGGAGCCAGAAATTTTAATATGTTAGAACCTCCAGCTACAATTCTTCCCCTTTCTTTATATTTAAATTCTTGCAAGTTGTCCATTTAACCTTTTCAAAATTTTTGACGTAGTAGAACGTGTAAACAATACAATCATGGGCTATGGAACAAAAATTATGGGTTAACAGTTAAAAGGTAAAGCTCCTCAAGGCTGTATTTAAAGGCTGCCACAGCCCAGCAATGCACTGACTTCATCCTAAATGGTGTACAGTGAGTGCAGTGGGCAGAGAAGCATCAGCACAGTGGTGGTGGCACAGGTTTTGGCACAGATTTTGGTTCAGTCTCTGGGCCAGAGCTGCAAGGTGTGGCTGTGTCACCAACACCCCTCTCCCTGTGCTGCTGTGGAGCAGCCCCATCACAGCACAGCAACTCACGGCACAGCAACACACGGCACAGCAACTCACGGCACAGCAACTCACGGCACAGTAACACACGGCACAGTAACTCACGGCACAGCAACACACGGCACAGCAACACACGGCACAGCAACACACGGCACAGCAACTCACGGCACAGCAACTCACGGCACAGCAACTCACGGCACAGTAACTCACGGCACAGCAACACACGGCACAGCAACACACGGCACAGCAACTCACGGCACAGTAACACACGGCACAGTAACTCACGGCACAGCAACACACGGCACAGCAACACACGGCACAGCAACTCACGGCACAGCAACACACGGCACAGTAACTCACGGCACAGCAACTCACGGCACAGTAACTCACGGCACAGTAACTCACGGCACAGTAACACACAGCACAGTAACACACGGCACAGTAACTCACGAACAGGCTGCACTGCCCATTAACACCCCTCAGCAGCCCATGGGGAGGTGAGTGAGTAAATAGTGTGGGCCCTTGGGATGATGGAGGCCTTTGTTGGGCTCACCTGGCTCCTTTCACACCTGTGCCAACCCCTGGGACTTGGCTCTCCTGAGCCCTGGGCAGGAGGGTCAGTGCAGGCCCTGCACACCCCCAGCAGCTCTCCCAGAGGTAAGAGCAGGCAGCCCTCTCACCAAAGGCAACTTTCTTTGCTCCCCTGTGAATCAGTGAAGGATCAATGGCATTGTTTCCCTCTTCAGGAGGCAGGAATTGAAAGGATCAGCTCTGTGTGGAAGCTTTCACTGTGCAGTTCAGAGCTCTACACCACAGCACCAAGTGTTACAGCACAAACCAAACTTCAGTCAAAGGCAGCATGTTCCAGAAACTGCTTATTTCCAGTCTGAACCTGCAATGAAGCCCTCTGAGTGCAGCACAATGGCCCATGATGGGCTCTCAGGAGCCCAGAACACAGCTCACCACATCCCCAACCAGAGCTGCACTAGCACCTGTGTCACCCTGATCTGCTCCACAAATACTTTTATGCAAAGTTACTCAAGAGGAAGTCTAAAAGCAGGAAAGTCCTGCTGCAATTAGTTAAATTGAATTATTAGTTTGTGAGGCTTCCTGCAGTTGGAGAACCTTTCAGTGAATTGCAGACAGTAATGGTTTGGTGGGCAGAGAGATGAGAACTTTACCAATCTGTTCCAAAACAAGATAACAAAACTATTTCTGATTAACCTCAGTCTGAGCTTTGGAAACAAAACAGCTTCAGAAATGTGATCAAACTGGGTAAAATTTGTCTCTACAGAACATGCCTGCACAGAGTAGGAGCTAGTTGTACAGACACCTGAAAAGGAACCATGCAGAGTTCCAGCTGCCACCTGGCAGTCCAGGGGAAACCAAGGCAGGCAACAGCTCTGTTGGAGGTGTAGATACTTTCTCAAATGAGAAGTGGATTTCTCTGAGAAAGGGCACACTGGAAGGGCTTAACTACCTTGGAAGGGAAGGCCAGGAACAAAAATACAAAAAAAAGAATCAGAAACAACTTTACCATATTTGCAGTCCCTCATGCTGGGCCAGGTCTCAGGGCCAGGAACCAGAGCTATCACCAAATCCTAGAGGAACCCCCCCATCACCAGGCAAAAGTCTCTTTACACCACCTGAGCCTTGACCTGGTGTGCTGTCACTCCAAGTCCAGAGCTTACTCATCAGAGGAGATTTTTCCATTCAAGATGGGCAGAAGAAACCTCCTTGCTGCACTCTTGCAGAGCACCAGACTCTGCAGGCCCCCACAGGGCATGACACCACATTTCATGTTCAAAGTTCAACAAGCAGCCTCAAGAAAAAGTGGAACAGATGCTTCAGATCTGTAGTTCACTGTGTGCAGCCAATTGTGTAAGGCCAGCTTAAGAAAAAATAAATAATAATGTGAAAAATGAGAGGCAGAGAAAGACTTAAGCACCTTACTGCTTTTTCTTATGGAAGATCTATTCCTTAAGTAGCTTTTTCAGCAGACACAAATGCATCATCCTTGAATCCCTCCCTTCCCTTTACCTTCTCTAACCACACAATATCTTACTTACTGATTACTTCTCATTGTTTTTCCACTTGGCCCCATTAAAAAGTTTTCAATTGTTTCCTATTATGTGCTTCATCTTTCTTTATTAGGTGGGTGGAATGATTTGTTAGGATTATTGTATTTTCAAAGAACAAACTCAAGTCCAGTTAGCTAAACAGAATATAATTTTAGCAGGGTGCCTTCAGGTGCTTTTGTAATGTAAATAAATTAATGAACTAATTCAAGCAGCAGCAGTACTTGTTTTGAGAAGTCTATTTAAGCTATGAGCAAGACAATGGGCAGAGGGGAAATCAAGACAGCCAAATAACAGAGCTGTTCAAGATCATGCCATCAGTTTTAAGTGAAGCTGAAACCAGAACCCAAATCAGATTCCATTCAATTCCCTACCTCATACACACTCAGACATGAACAGACTCATTTATTTCACTGCACATAATTCAACCACCTTCAGAAAACAAAGGTTCAGTCACTGAGCAATTTATCTCCATCCATTTTAAAACTACCAATATTCCCCTTCTCCCTCAGGATCCTTGTCAAAGGCCATAAAAGGTCCAGCATGTACAAAAAAAGCAAATAATCTTCTAATGGGAGTTTGTGTGTTTCTTCCCTTTCCATGTGCAAAGGGTTGTAAAAGAACGATCCTTCAGTATTTTTCCAGGGTACACTGTAACTTTTGCACAGCATGACAGACCTTTAACACTTCAGTATGTATTATGAATAATTAAAGCAGCTCATGCCAGGGGAAGAGCTACT